CAATTTTAAGGCATGTGGACTTCAACTCCCAGAATTCCACAGCCAGCAATGCTGGCTGTGGAATTCTGGGAGTTGAAGTCCACATGCCTTAAAATTGTCAAGGTTGAGAAACACTGTAATCTAGATCCCTCGAAATATATCAGACTAACCATCCGTACGTCAAGCCATGATGACTATGGAAGAAGTTATGGTTCAATTCTTCTGGACGACCCTCCGGTTAGAAAAAGCTTTTAAAACGAGTAGGCAAATTCATTCCACAAATCCAACACACACACACACACACACACACACACACACAGAATGTTTGGCAGCCTGCTCTACCGTGGGCATCTCAAAGAGTACCTGTACTGTTTGGGATCACTGGGGGACTTGACAATCTCGGGATCGCCCAAGTTGGGGCAAAGCTCGCAGGCGGCGGTGGCGTCTCCGCTCTCCGCATCAGCTTCTTCCTGGACAGCGCCGGCTTTGGCCCCACGGCTGCCCTCCAAGTCCTCAGGCTGCTCAGGGCCGCAGGCAGACGAGGCCTTGGTTCTCCCCGGCATGGCTGTCAAGATAACTGCGGAGGAGCGACGCACGATGGGCCTGAAGGCGAAGATCTTCCCGGGCCCGGCTAGATGGCCGCTCAGGCAGGCACGATCCCGACGGTGGAAGGCTTTTAGCGGACTTATTCCCGAGCAACTCCGCGATACAGCGGCTATCACCTTCCGCATCCGCCGCGGGCCAAAACCCGGCCGGGCCGTTCCAGCCTGCAAGATCACAGGCCGGTGCTAAGGGCTGAGCACACCGGCTGTTATCCAATCAGAAGCCAGGTTCTTGCCCATGTGATCCCCGCCAACAAATCCGGAGGCCCTTCGGCAAATCGCTTCTCTGATAGATACATAGCGCCGGAGGAGGCGGGAGCAGAGCAAACCCGTTGCCGTTTACTGTCGGCTGCGGCCGAGGCGCTCGGAACGGAATGTTGCTTTCTGTGCAAAATGTGTGACGTCCGTCCTTAAGTTCGATCAAGACATGGGAATTCTTGTTCGTAGCAGTTCGTAGGAAAAAAAGTGGTTTTGGTTATTCTGCGACATGGATCAACAACTTAGATTTGTTTTGATGCTGTCGGGACAGCAACTCTCGGCTTTCCGCACTCATTTGTTGGGGCTGGTGGGAATTAAGGGCTTTTCCATATTTGGGAGCCTGTAGATCTCTAACTCTCTAGGAAAGGAATTTTTTCCTAGATTTTTTTCCCTTAGGTTGTTATACTGGGTGAAGAACAGTTAGTCCTTGACTTACAACAGTTCGTTTAGTGACCATTCAAAGTTACAGTGGCACTGAAAAAAGTGACTTAGGACCATTTTTCACACTTAGGACCGTTGCAGCATCCCCGTTGTCACATGATCAAAATTCAGACCCTTGGCAACTGATACATACTTACGATGGGTGCAGTGTCCCAGGATCATGTGATCCCCTTTTGCAACCATCTGACAAGCAAAGTCAATGGGGAAGCCAGATTCACTTAACAACAGTGTTACTAATTTAACAACTGCAGTGATTCACTCAACTGTGGCAAGAAAGGTTGTAAAATGAGGCAAAATTCACTTAACAAATGTTTCACTTAGCAGCACAAATGCTGGGCTCAATTGTGGTCATAAGTCAAGGACTACCTGTAGAAGTAACGTATTTACAGACAAAGTGGCATGTTGGCAGATGTAGTGGACGGGGCAGAGACGGAGGGGGCCCTAGCTTGAGATAGCCAAGAAGTGCCTGTCTGATCCCACCCACAAGTGAGCACCTGATGTTGCCTCTCATATAGTGTAAAATTGGAGAAAAAGAAGTACGGTGGTGGGAAGTGGATAAAGGTCCTCTGTTAAATTTTCATACAAGAAGTTTGGTGTACATAAATTTAAAAACAGTGTACACAATTGCAGTACATGTAGCCCTTAACTTAACAACAGTTTGTTTAGTGGTTGAAGTTAAAACAGCACTGAAAAGGGTGACTTATGATCGTTTTTCATATGACTGTTGCAGCATCCCCATGATCATGTGATTAAAACTCAGATGCTATTTATGACCGTTGCAATGTCCTGGGGTTATGGGATCACCTTTTGCGACCTGACAAGCAACGTCAATGGGGAAGCCAGATTCACTTAACAACTGTGTTACTAACTTAACACCTGCATAGATTCACTTAACAACTGTGGCAAGAAAGGTTGTAAAATTGGGCAAAACTCACTTAACAAATGTCTCACTTAACAACAGAAATTTTGGTCAGAAGTCAAGGACTACCTGTATTCAGATGCAGCTCACTGAGGCTCTTCCCCCCCCCGCCCACCCCCGCGTAGATCATCGGACTCAAAAGAGTTAGGGAGTTAACATTTAGGAATCAACACCTAATGCTTAATTGGCCTTAATAACATCATTACTTTAAAAGAGTAGACATTCTCTACCTTTATTAAAATCTGTTGCAACCAATACCTATGAAAAAAATATTTAAATAAACCTAAGCCATCTTCAATCAGTTACAGCCATCCTATTGTAAAACTGTGGTGGGGATTTAAATACTCCTTAACTTTCTCCATCATTTAAATTAGTTGTTTTGCAAAGAAGAATATTCTTGATACTTGGTGTTTTCAGACTTGACTGTAATCTAATCTTCCAATATATAAAGAAGGTGATAAATCATTTTTCTCCCCACCTTGACCTATGCTCAGTTTTATGTCTACTATATGTAGAACTGAATGTAATGTAGGGTTGCCAGGTCTGTTTCCAAAAAATAGCGGACAAGCGGGGGGGGGGGTGTTAAGTAGTAAAAAAAGTAGACTGTACAGCTTTAGATTACGTACCATTTCATCATAAAGCTTTTGAATAAAAAAAATGTCCACTATTTTGTGAAAAAAAATAGTGAACATAATGTGAAAAAAGTGGACTGTCCACTCAAATAGTGGACACCTGGCAACCCTAATGAGATTTACTCCCAGTAGCCTAAGGAGGTAGTACTTTTGTAACTTTGGTGGATTTCTGGTTATGCCTTAAGTTGGGAGACCACCCAATCTGTAGGTTACACCAGGAAATAAAAAAGTATTCCAGAAGAAGTGAGCGATGAGCCTTTTCTTACTGTTGTGAAGGAAACTGCATGGAAATGCCCATGAAGTTATCAGAAGTTGGGTCTGATTCAAGAGTTTGCTTCTGGGATACTGCTAATAGAATTGTTGCTTTCATTTCATGGAAATTTATTTTCAACTGACCCAACTGTGTTATAAAAACATTCATGCTGATATTTGTTGTATTTCATTTTATCTTTATTGTGTTTTGAACATGGAATGCTGGGTGGGGAAGCAAAAGGTAAACTTGAAATGTATTAAATATAATATTTCATATTTATAATATTTCTATTTATTATATTAGGCTTTGTAGTAAAGTTTTTCTTGTCCATAATATAGTTAAATCGCTTCAGGCAGTGTATTTTTCTTCTGAATCTGAAAATCTCAGATTGTTAACACCGAATTAAGAAATATATGTATTTGGAGAAAATGCCACAAAGGGGCTTGAGATTTTATATGTCTGCATCACCAGCATAACTCAAAAGATAATGAGACCTGATTTGATGAGTAGAAAGAACCTCAAAAAAACAACTGCAAATAGTGCAACGAGGCAGATAAAAACATAAGCAGCTTTATGTTTGTTACACAGGAAAATTGTCACTACTAATTGAAGGGGTTGCAACAAATGCTAGAAATTATGTTATGCATGTTATCCCTGCCTGGTTCTAATCTACACCGAGGCACTTTCATATCAGAAACTCAAACCTTTTCAATTTTCCCATTTTTCAGTATCATTTATCATACCTAGCAGAGGGCTAGGCTAGAAGACCTCCAAGGTCCCTTCCAGCTCTGTTCTATTCTATTCTATTCTATTCTATTCTATTCTATTTTTGGATCAATAGAGGGCAGAATTTATAATAAATCAAATTCTTTATCTCAGGGATTGAGATTGATCCAGCAAGTTTCTCTTTCATATGCGATACTTGGAAAATAAGTTCTCCCTTGGTGTTAGCATGGTAGCCATCTGCAGAATTCAACATGATTCACAGCCTAGCATGCTATATAAATTGTAACATAATTAACATTGCCTGAATTTCTTTTTTTTATTCTGCCTAGTAGTAGCTTTAGAAAGGAAATTACTCTGAAACATAGCCATACATTTGAAAGAACTTCCTATTGTATTTGGATAGTTTGTACTCATCAGCAACCTAAATTAATAAAATAACCTGTAGTTACCAAATAATATTTTATTTTGTCAGAAACTTATCAAGAACAACAAATACACTACAAGCACTTTAAGACAGTATCTTGTAATATATCATAAATATACAAGAAAATAAAACTTTTGTTATAATACCAAAATGAGGAAAAAAATCACAGTTACTGATTATTTTTACTTACTTTCCATACAATGGCTGAAATGAAATGAATATTGTATGTGTTTATGTAAATTTTATGTACAATCTTACCAGAGTAAGCCTCATTAAAGTTTGAATTTATTCTGATAATGGTGAAGAAAGCATTGCAACCTTAGTTATAGCAAAACTTCTTGCATCTCTTAATTACCACTGAGTTTGTGAGACTTATTACCAAATAACCAGAAATATTTGGGTTATTTGAGTGCGCGATAGGTTGGAAAGACTACCCAAAAATAAAATGAAAGAAATTGAACAATGCAGCATCTCAAAATTATTACTGTGCGTGCTAATAATTCTGTTACTTGCTTCTGTCTTTTATCAACATGCATCCAATGTATGTCTTCATTACAGCTAAATGCTATTTATTTAAACATACTTCAGTCTTAGAAGTGGCTTCTGATGAGCAGATCCAGAAGTGTTTTTGAATTCATGTTATTTGGCTCAGTTGTTAATAAAATTATTAGAAACACCAAGCATAATTCAGAATGGGTTAACACTATAAAATATTAAACCTTAAGATAAATTCTCAATGGAATGCTAGCACTTACAGCCGCTTTTTATTTTATTCATGGCACAGAATATGTTTTTGTTGACATAGAACAAATGTACTTACAGTAGTTCCACCAGCACAGACACATCCCTTTCTAAAAAACAGTAAGTGAGGAGAAAACTTTCCTGCATCAGAGAAAATTTTCCTACTTATTTTTGAGGCACTAACAGGAGCACTTCTGCTGCAATGGAGGTGGCTGATATGTGAGCCGCACATTCTTCCCAGCAGTAGTCTTTGAAGCTTCTGACTCCATGCTCTCCGACATCTTCTCACAAATGATGTCCACAAGACGCTCAAAGACCTGCCTCACGTTGATATTCTCCTTGGCACTGGCTTCAAAGTAATCAAAACCTAGTTTTTATTTTGGAACAATGCAGACAAAGCAGTTATCAGCTTATCCCAAGATTGCTTTTAATACTACTTTGGAATTAAATTTCCTGCTAGTTTCTTAACGAGAATAACACCTCAAGTTCAGAGGAGGTAAGATGCTTTGTTATTGTCTCACAGTATATAGAAGAAAGTTTCTGAAAGCATTTGACCTATGAATGAACTGGCGTTATGTAATTCGGATTCTGCCTACTTGAGTTCTGTATGGCCCATAGTAAAATGTAACTAATACTGTAAGTGGTTTTGAGCTTTAGGTTTTGCTAATAACATAAGAAACGCCTTTCCAAATCACATCAAGATGTACTTAATCCATAAATATTTTAGGAAGCTGATTAATTAACAATCTTTTACCTTCTTCATACTTCTGAGAAATGCATACATCAACTATTGATGCATGCCCATTGTGATATAATTTTAAGTCACTGAAACGCATTTGATTTGTGAGATCTATGGGTTTTGGGTTTTTCTCATAGAGCACAATTGCTTTATCAGATATACCTTTGCACCTAAATTTTCTTGTAGTTATTTCCCACTTTCCCACATTCTATAAATGTCCATAAGTACTAATAATTTACGTGAGAGGTACAATAACATTCAGTAGCAGCTATGGTAATGGGACTAAAGCACAATACATATCTTTCTTTCCTGAGAAAGGGATTGTTAATATATTTAAATCCATGACTTAATTGCAGGCTCCTAGTTCCCCACTACAATATTAAACAAGGGCAATGGCTTTTGTTAAAAACCTACTGATCCCTAGTGATATTTGAAATATGAGCTGAGAGTTATCTTTGAATTTACACATTTGGTTAAACTTTAACATTTAATCGTGCATTGTAGGATTTCACAGTCACCTTTATCAGTGAAATGATTTCTAGGAAATGTCTGATGAGACAATGAGTAAGTGACTAACTTTTTTCTAGCTGTGCTGCTACATTCTTCTGAAACAGTTTGGCAACATCTCAGGTCTATAGTTCCTGCATGTGGAGTGGAATGCCCACAATCAGTCATTAATTGCCATATAGATAGGCTGGTGATAGTTTCCTCCTTATTTCAATGTGACTATTTACCATTTCTATTACTTCTGTAAGAATTCTGGAGAAACAGCTGTTATAATTGCCAGGATGCTGACATTCCTCAGGCCTGTTTTGTGATTTGAATCTTGCCAGAGGTGTTCAGCCAAAGCTGCTGTGTATGTTTTTAAGCCCAATGTTCCTTTAATCTTCCTGGGTTCTGCATTCTACGGCGCATTCAGTTTCTCTGATACAGCTGCCCTCATATTTTATATATTCCTTCTTAGTTTTAGAAATTATCCTTGTTAAATCAATATTAGGATATTGTGCAAATCCAACTGTGCTTATTGAATAAAATCACCGTATTGGGGAGATGGGTACCATATAAATTTAATGAAAAATTAAAATGTATTGAAGCAATCTTATGTTTAGTGGGATATCTAAACCCAGAATTTATTTTTATGTGAGTTAATGGACCTCCATTCCTAGTCTGCTTTCACTGATTACCTATTTGAGTGACACTGTAATCTATCTGCTGCAAAATAGCAGAAAGACAAAGGTAAGTATCAGAATAAGATCCTGGAGCCATGATTAGAATTAAAAAAAAAACACCTGCAGATACTAAAATCTAGTTACATACAATTTAAGCATCAGAGTACACAGTGGGATTGAATGAGGGGTTATATAATGAGAGAGAGAAAGGAAAAGAGTTTTTAGAGTAATCCTGATATAAACTGAGATATCAGACAGAATAGAAGCAGAAAGGCTGGTACAGTCATAATGACACATGAAATGGATCAGTTCATTAATAGGTATACTGAACAAGGAGAGGAATATGAAAGGGAAAGCACAAAGCAGGAAGAAAGTAAGCGGTGAAATAAAGTAATGAGGAAAGGATTCCTATAGGCCTTACGTGAGTCAAATATTGGAACTGGAAAACATTGCTGACTCAAATCCCATATTTAGAGGAATAAAAACCCTAGACACAACGACAGACATAAGGCTTTGAGATTCTTCCAACAATGATTTGTCTTCTCTGATAATCAAAAATAAATAATATATCTGGAAAAGCCAGTAAACATGAGATGTGGCTACAGGTCAGGGTGACGAAGGCCCCCCCCCCCCCCCCCCCCCCCCCCCCCCCGGGGGGGGGGGAGGAGAGGAGAAAAAAAAAAAGATAAGGTTGAACATGTACCCAACTGATCAGCCAAATGTTTTCCTTTTTCAATAGGAATAATTCTTTCATCCTCCATATCACACTTATTCCCAACCAGAATAACTTGTGCATTATCCCAGGAATACGTCTTTATTTGAGTGGCCCTGTAAAAAAACAAACAAAGAAGACAACAATATGATTTGCTGTGAATCGTAGCTACAGAAAGCCATCAACATCCAAACAACAGCAACAGTTTGAGAATAGCCAGTGTTGTTACCAAGATGTTGTTGTTGTTAGTACTTAAAGTATTTAATTCTAGAAATTCCCATTACTTTACAAATGAGCCAACACCTTAGTATTTGCCCATAAAATTAGCTCAGAATACTGTTTCTTAAGCTATATTCATTGGAAGAGCTCTATTTTCCAAGCTATTCTGCAAGTTGGTGCAGGTTCTTGTGCAGCTCCAGCTAGCAGGCCTGCAAGCTTTCCTTTAACAATCTTGACCTAGATATTGATGAAATATGCTATCATATGGAATTTCATTTATCCCATTTAGATTCATAATGCATATATATATATTAAATATAAAGGGGAAAAGTAGGTTTAAAAGATATTTTACTTCAGGTTGCCTTCTCTTTTCTATACTTAGGAAATAATTATTGTGAACTTGAAAAGGTAATGAAAGAATGCTTTTAGAAGCATGATCACAAAATTGCAAAAACACAAAAACACCCCCTTTTAAATCCAGCAGAGGGAGTCAGAAGATTAAAAACATGGATTAATTCAAGTAAATCACATTGCCCTGTCATTCTAATACAGTATATTCCACCTAGTGAGCACTCTTAACATGGATTATTTCTACCCCATTAAACAGACCCAAGAATGGAATATTTCCTTATATCTCCTCCTATTTATATTGTCAAAATCTGAGTCTTTGAGGTTGCTGACGGAGTTTGCTTTCTGATTTAGAATGATCATGTATGATAATTCATTTATTTATTATCACATGCATGAGAAAATGATAGAATTATTATTCATCCCTACAAGTTTTTGATTATCAGTGGTCCATCCACACCGAGCCTCTCCTATAAAAGCAGCGTCAGCCAGTCAATGTGTGCATTTTTATCAGTATACCCACTGAATATTCATCACTAGCCTTGCTGATAGGGCATAGTTTAAATAAATGTTGGAATTGTGATAACCAACCTAGGAAGAGCCAATGGCAATTTTTTGGCATTCAGCACCCATTGTTAATGAAAAGGTACATTTTTGGGCTTTGGCTTCACTAATCTCTCCAAAATGGGGGACAATAAGTTGCTTCTCTTATCATGATTAAAATAGTCAGGCCTTTTCTAAAGGGGAGATGAAATCTTTCAGGTAACTGGATGCATCTCCAGATTAATTTGTAACAACCCAATTTATATAGTTGGGGAGGCAAAAATGACAGGGACATGGAAACACTGCTAGCGTACAAGTTACTTTCCTTTTTCAGTGGCTATGCTAAAAGCAGTCGTTTCTCCTCCTTATATTTCATTGAGTTAGGGAAGTATCTACCTGAGTTGGGTTTGGATATTATATTATTGTTGTGATTTTAAAAAATGCTTCAGCCTAGTTGTTTCCTGCATATCTCTTACCAATGTCGTCTTCCATACTCTGCACAATTATCTTCTTTTCAGTATCTTAGTATTCTGCCTGTTTTCCATATGATATTTGTATTAGTCTACTCTATTATGTGTACACAGGTTTATGGCATTGATTAATCAAACAAAGGAAATTAGAACAAAATAACCTGTAAGCCATAGTTACCTCCTTTGCATCTCCGGGGTTTTTTTTTCCTCCTGAGTAATGAGATGATTAAATTGAGCAATGAATGTGGCCTTTTCTCTCATTCCTTTCAATTTTTCTAGCTTTGGTATGAAATGAGGTGTTCAGCACTTCTTTGGAGCTGACTGTACAGTTTGAACTTATCACAGAATGATACAACTTGTGAAGTGCCTGCTCTATTAACATTGAATATATTTTAGCCCTTGACACTTTCTGGCTTTACAGGATTTTTTAATTAGGTTATTTTTTTCATCTTGCATTCAGCTCCGGAATATTACATACTTACTGATGTTAGCGTAAATAGGCCAGTGAGTTGGATGAAAATTTAATAATGCTTAAGGAAGATGTAATGAAATCAGTGGGATTTAACTTAGTCATGATTTATTTAAATGCCATTGATTCCAGTGGGTCTAATTCTGCTTAACACACAGGACAGGGCCACCTTCTGCTTAATACACGGGACAGGCAAGAGCCATAATTTTGGCAGTAATGCACAATGAGCTGGAGCATAATCTAAAACAACCCCCAGGCCGCCAACTGGTACCAATCCATGGCCTGTTAGGAACCGGGCCATGTAAATGAGCAAAACTTCATCTCAGATTACCCTAACCTCACCCACAGCCCTGAGGGAGCCATGAACCTTTTTTTTAATAGTTGGAAGAAATGTTTATTTTCCTCTCCCAATCCAAGAGTTCTCTCCCGCAGACAATCTAGAGTGTCTCTGAAATGAGCTTGGGGTGACCCAAGGATGATCCATTCCTCTTGGCCTGAAAAGTCTGCTGTAGAAATGCCATCTCATCTAATCATTCAGTACAGTGCCTTCATGGCCATTTTGACTTTGGTCAACAAGAGAAGATAAACACCTAGTCTATTTCTCTTTGCACTGGAATAACAAACTCTCAGAGGATTGATAGAGCTGTCTGCTAGGAATACTGGTATTTGACACGTTTGTGTGATATGTTATGTGCTGTGCATATTATAAAGCATGAGAAATATGTAGCACAGCGAGAAACAAATGTGGAATGGAAGATGAGATAGAGAAGTGTTTTTTGCATGGTCATAAATAATTGATAGAAGAAGAAAGGAATGAAAGATCCAGATGCACAAAAGCCCCAAGACCCCTCGGGTTTTATTTCTTCTGGCATATACTTCAAATCAGCTCTTCCAATCACTCAGGCAGACTTTTGGTAGAGGTGAGGGAGTGGTATTGTTCTCAGAACAGGGAGATTGAAATTCAAACAACCTCAAGATGGAACCATCTATGAAATCATTTCATAGGATTATACTCTCTTGCAAAGAGCAAAATGCCTCTCGGAAGAAGCATATATAGGAAGTACCGTATTTATCGGCGTATAACGCGCACAGGCGTATAACACGCACATTCATTTTAAGAGGGAAATTTCAAGAAAAAAAAAGCGCCGGCTCGAGAGCGAAAGCAAAAGGGGAGGGGGAGTGGGGCTTCGTTCACACGTGGATCCCCATGCTCGTATTTATTTACCGTATTATGCCCCGGCTGGCGGCGGCGGCAGCAGA